AAGCGCCGCGCGATGGCCTCGGCGTCCCAGAAGGCCATCGACCCGACCTCCCCCAGCTGGGCCTGGAGGCGGCCCTCGTCGAGGAAGGCCCGGCGGGATCGGTTGCGGGCGAGGAGGGCCTCCACTCGGCCCCACGCCGCCCCTAGCTCCGTGTTGAGGTCCTCCTTCCGGTGGTGCTCGTCGTGGAGGAAGTGAAGGACGTCCGCCCGGTAGGAGGGGGGGGCCATGCGATCCCACAGCACCTGGCTAATCGCCTGGCTCGGGGTCACGAGGGAGGGACGAATCGGGGAGGGGTCATCGACCTCCACTGAGGTCGGCGGCGCTAGATGCTCAAAGAAAAAGGAGGACATGCACACAGGCTGAGCTCGACGCTCCATTCTTTCCATCCTGACTTAGAGGGGCAACGTAGTAAGTACTAAACAATAAAAGATCCTGGCTAAGACTTTAGGTCCTTTATGTGCTTTTCTAACCCAAATCACGAAGACAACCCATAATGGAAAATAAAAAAATAGGACTAATGAGATGCACTTAATTATTGCTTTCAGGACATCATTTCCTTTTTGAGTATTTGATATTTGGGATGTTCTCGACTCTGCCCTCCCTCTTCCCCTAGTTCCTGGAATCAACAACCCTATGTTTGTGAATAGGTACATGACTTATGCACCACCACCCTTTGCGAAAGTGATGAATAATTTTCCCTACCCTCATCCTTCGTTCCTCTTAGTATTTTCGAAAAGTTAGGGAAAGACTTTACACATAGGGGAAAATACACACACCTATATATGTATAGGGTCCGAAATAATGAATGTAAGAATAAAAAATTCGGTATATCGTTAGATGGTTCATCCAAAAGTGTCATTAACGTATGTAATGAAAAAGGGGTTAATGAGACACATAAAGATAGACGTAGCAACCTATTAAGGATTAAGATAAAAATAAGGGTAATTCCTTGATATTACTGCACCACAGGATACCACCTGGAAAACGGGCGTCGTTTAACATGGTGGACCACACAAAAGGCGCAAAAAAATCATAGCTGTGCGGGCTTTCCTCGTATACGTATGGGATTTCAAATGTCTTTGCGTTTTCAGCGATATCATCCGCTGACACTGAGGGTTTGGGAGAGCTCATCAAGGATTTGTCGATGTCCAGAAACTTACAAGGGGTGAAAGAACCATCTCTAGCATCCTCCTTAGAAGACTCTTGCAGGGATTCCGAAGAGCCTTGCGCTTGATTGAATTGGCGAATGATATGAATCACTTCATTCCGTTTGCTTGTGTTTGGGACACTTGCGAGCTCTGTCTCGTAGCTCAGAATACATTTGGAGAGGTTAGACAGTATTTCCCTCACGTAAGGGATGAAATGCTCTGAGTTTTCCAAGAATTCACTCGTATTCGCATTCGGATTAGAACCTTGATCTTTGAAAGGGCATGAAATGATAATTTTATCTCGATGATAAAGCAATTCGTAAACAAGGCATTCGTTATTACAATTAAGGTCACGCAGGAGCATCACGTCAAGAGCCTCCACCACGATATCAAGCAGGTTAAGATACAATTGTCCATCGCTTTCGATTTCTTCGGTGGTCCTCCCTATTGGTGGGTTCATTTCTATCCTCGATTGCGCCTCGCTGTGTAAGAAGGCGCCTGGTTGAGTCGAAGCGGGCTTTAAGCTCTCATTCAAGGCATTCTCGCCTGGATCTTTGATGAGCAGTTGATATTCCCTTTCCAAGAACTGCATCCTCTTTAAAAGAAAGACAACAAGCATGAGAAGACGTTGGGATGTGTAAGAATCGATATCGCGGACCTGGAGGGCGAGGTTATTCATACACGACGCATAGAGCAATGCGAGCTGCTCGTTATGGTCCTTGACGGCTTTGCCAATGCCAACCGCCATCACTATCAGATAAGAAGCCCCGACGGTGAGCTCGCGAGCGGCGTAGCGCCTCAACGGCAGGGTCTGTAGCCCGAGCATGCGAAAGGCTTGCTGACGTAGAAAAGAAACCTGAGAGAGCATCAAAAGCAGAGTGGCAGTCATAAAACAAATAAAAGGGTACGAAAATTGCGTCGTGTTATACATCAAATGGGCTAAGGAGCTCGAGCTATGGGTCGATTTGGTGATCTCCACCCCAGAGCCGTCCTCCCCGCCGCTCCCGTGTGCGAGGAGGGTGGTGCTAGGGGCCTCATGCGAATTCACATTGATGCAGACTACATAGCTGAGGTTCTGTAGAGATTGAATCGCACCCATTAATTGTCTAGAATCAGAGGCAAGGATGTCGGGCAAAAAGCTATCATGATCGTAAAGGAAAACATAGAGCAGCGTGCAAAGAGAAGGGCATCTTGGCAGCCGCGTGGCGATAGCCTTTATAAGAGCGGGAAATCTCACGACTTGGCCATCCTTCAGCTTCTTAATATACTCCACTACCGGGTTAGGTTTATTGCCCCTTTGATAAATTACTAATAACGCCAAGAATTGCGCGAGATGACGAAATGTCAGTTCCCAGTAGCTACAGCTTGATTGAATCGCAGGATTGGTTAGATCCTCCGCCTTCTCGGAGCGCGCGCGGTGGTCATCATTGGAAGGACCGGTAAACCAGGAAAAAAGTTTGGTGAGAGTGAGCTTTGGGTCTGCGTTGTATAAAATCGGCTTCATCTGCTCTGGGTACTCATTCCAGTCAATAATACACCTCAAAAGTACTCCAACGAGTGCCTCCAGCCGCTCGTGGTTGAGTATCATTTCCAGAAACATATCTATCGAAGTCTCTTCAGCATGGGTAGGATGGTGAAGAGTGGAAGAGCACATGCTAAGAAGTAAAGAAGCCACTTCCGCATGCGTAACAACTGTGTTAACGTCAAGCTTCACCTGGGTTGCGTATTCTAAGAGAAGCTCACATAGTTTCTGAGCATCTTTACTACCTCGTGAGGCAAGCTCAGTGGAAAGACTTAGTTCCGATAAATCGTCGCCAATGAGCTCTACTAAAGCCTCCGAACGACATCGCCCTAAGGCATGGATACGTCGTAGAATCAATCCCATAAGGCGTAAACAAGCTAAATGCGCTTCGCGCACTGTGGATGGGGAGGCGAGAATCCCCAAAAGCATCTTTCCGCAATAGCGAATTATCCAATTCAGGCGCCGGTTATGCACCCCGTGTGTGATCAATTTCACAATAACCGACTTCGCAATAGTATCAAACTCGATTCCAGAGCTAATCTCTTTTGAGTAAAGTGTTAGATGTGCTGTAAAGTCATCTTCGTCAGGGTGATTAGGGCTAGTGAAGACCTTTTCATAGTATTTGATAGCTTCTTTATTTTTCAAAGTACCCATTTTAGACTACAACTTTTAATTATTGATAGACTAACTTTCAAAAGGGATTGAAATAGGAATTTAATAAATGCAAATAAACAATATTACGATGAGTGTGAGATAACATGCAAAAAAAAGGTCCTTAAGAGAGAAAATGAAGATATTATCAGTTGTAACCGAAAAGCAAACAACATTTTAAAAGGGGAAAAAGATAATGCAGACACACGGAGCGTCTAGCAATGTTAACCTAATTTAATTTGAGTTTCTTTTAGAGGACATTAATTCCAAGCGTTTTACGATCGTCGATTTTT